AGTATAAATTATCTTTGTCTCCAGCTCTGAAGGTTAAGAATTGGGTCAAGTAATGTAATTAAATGAGATTAGTGTTTACTGTATACATACATATCAGCTTAGCATAATAGTAGTTTATTTTCTTTTTAATTGGAAATTTTCTTTTAGATTGTCATTAATTGAATTTTTCAGTTTCTAAATTTTAGTTCCCAGTTGCATTTAATTACAAATACACTTAAATTGGAAAAAACATTTTCTAGTAGGCTTTTAAATTTAAATCATGTGAAGAAACTCATATAAAAAATAGTAAACTAAAAATATATATATATTAAGTTGAATGTTTTTTAAAATCTCTAAGCTCCATAAGTTAATTTTTTTTAAGATAGTGCTGAAAAGGCAACAGAAGTTTGTTTTCTTTGTTTATTTGAATTCTAGATTGAACTAAATCAATATATTTTGTAGGTTTCATTTTACTTAAATAATTAAGATAATACAGTAAGCACACAAAGAAAGGACAAGTGAACTAGTTTGACTTTTTTTTTAATAGAGCTGAAAGTCACTATTCCCATTGCATTTCATAATAGTTACTGTTTTTCAAAAGTAAGATGTAGAGGCATCGTTTCCATGGATAGAACAAAAGCTTGAGTTAATAAGCACTTGTTTGTTGTTTGAAGTTATACTTAGGGAGTTAGTTGTCTGCCTCTTCTATTAGATCTCCAAAATGAGATGATAGTTCCCTCGGTTTAATGTTATTTTCTGTTTTGAAGTCTACGTAAATAGGCTTTTGTTTTTTCACATTATTTTTTATAGGTCCTTAAATGGCTTCATTTTTGTCTTGCTAGGTTTTACTCTTTGATTACAATGTTTACAGCTAAAAATTCATAGCAAGTTCCAGTTTAATATTGGAGATATTAGAGCTTTTCCCATGGGTTTGATTTGGTTTTGTCTTTAATTGTGAATGCCATTTAGTTTACTGTAGGCCTTATAATTTGTTTCATTTCTAACAGTCTTTTAGTGGAAATTAGACTAGGTGAGTCTAGGTAAAATTAAAGAAACCTTCCAATTCAGTATTTTAATTCTGTGGTTGCTGATTAGCACTGTGGAAGTTACAGCTTGGATTTGATTTAGAGAACTGAAATCATTATGTAGAAATTACTTTTAAAAATAGACTCTCGCCAGGTGGCCTAAAACTCTACAACATGTTTATTAAAATTATAATGATTGAAAGATTGTGCTGACATTTTATAGTTTTTTTTTACACATTTATAAACTTGTAGATTCTGCCAATTCTATTATTTTGTAAAAAATAAAGGCACAAGAGCTAAAGTCTAATTTGATTTGGTGAACCCTGTGATTATCTTTGTTACCTGTTTATATTTCCCCTTCTAGTATAGGTAAGTTGATCTCTGGCCTAGAAGGATACTGTATCTTCCAGAGGTGACATGATTCATTTGACATTTTAACCATTTGTGTTTCACAAATAATGTGAATCCTCACTTCTAAGAAATCAGAAGGATATGCGCTATGAGCACTTCATTTAGGATCCAGCATATCTTAATTTTAGAATTTCTTATGAATTTTAGAAGTAATAAGTGGTATACAATAGAATTTTAGCATGTGTTTTCATTTTTATGTTTAGTGTTTTTTTAACCAGGTTAAAAAATACAAAAATATTTTCTCCAGTATGTAAATGACAGGCACCTACTGTAACATTTTAAATGAAAATTTACTCCAGAGATCGAGGATGGCTCGGCTCAGTCTAGATTTTCAAACTTATTTATTTAAATGAATTTGTGAAATTTGGACGTAGTCTAGGAAAAGGAAGTAATTTTAGAGTTCACAGAATTAGAGTAGTCTTTATCCCAGGGTGCTTTTCCCTAACCAGTTGTCCAAACAGTACATTAAATTCCTTGGCATGTTAAACATGGCAGCTGTTCCTGGCATAGATTTTGTAAATAGTGCCTTGACATGTCTTAACCTTAGGGTAACCTTATGGAAGTCAAAGGGAGTTTGGGGAAAATTGAACAAGGTTTTTAAATGGTCTCCCTATTTTTTTCTCACTTCTTTAAATTTCATGATGCATTTTCTTCTGAATCTGGTTGTTAATTATCCTTTGTAGACTTCTTGAGTGTGATGGGAAACATATCTTTTGGAAATTGCCATTGTGTGTAGAGTGATGAGTACACATTTGTTTTAAAAAGTGCCACAAATGCACTTAGGATGCTTCCATATCTTGGTGATTGTAAATAATGTTGCCGTTAATAGCAGGGTATATGTATCTTTTTGAATTAATTCTTATTTTGTGGTTGGCTTTATTCCTTTGGTAACTATGTATGTTTAAAAAGCTAAAGCTCTAAATGTTCCTAGAAACAATGAACAGTACGTATATGTACAGTAAAAAAAATAGGTGCAGTATATTGTGTATATGTATTTACATGCAATATATTGTATATGTGCAGTTTGTAAAAATTCTACCTAATAAAACTGAAAAATGAAAAAAAATTTTAAAAAGATCCCACAAATGATGCTTTGCTTTGACTCTAATTATGCTCTGTTTAGTTAACTTGTAGTTAAGCAGTACAGCCCTATTTTTTTTAATGTATCAGAATAACATATTGTAAAGTAATGGTTAGGAAACAGATGACTCAGAATTAATACAAATCCTTTCACTTTTAGGTCACTGGTTTGAATCCTACGCTTATCTTTCTGAATGATTTCAGTGTATTGAATATCAGGTGGCATGTATTACATTAGTTGATTTGATCATTTTTAGGTGACATGTATTGGTGGATCAAGGTACAACCACATAGATTATAATTACAGTTTTCAGTATTTTGGAAAGAAGGTTGTTTGAGGAGAGACAGAATCAACGTCTTATAGACAATATGATGAATACATATTAATTATACATTGCTGAAGCAGCATATCATGGTATTGTTAATTCTGTTTTTTCCTTCCTTGTGCACACAAATGAGTTTCTGCTTCCTCCTTTTAGATTTCCTGATCATGCCTAGCTACAGTTAACTTTCTTTGAAGTAAAGGGGGAAGGGAAAAAGAGAGGAAGTAGGAGGAAACCCTGCAGGTTCTACTAGTCTTTCAGCTGGCTGGGAAGAAGAGGAAAAAACAAATTATTAGTTCTTAAAGGTGATTTTTATAGTTTTAGGGTTTTTTTAATTACTGTGATTTCTGTGGTGTGGTTACCTTAGAGGATGATTACAGAAGCTTTTTAAAAGCTTTGCACTAAAATTTGAACTTTTGATCAAATTCATGTAAAGTTTGATAATGAAATAGGAACACTGAACTTTTACCATGATTTTGAAATCATCTTGTCCTGGATTTTGGCTTCTGACCATGCACACACCTGCAGTTTTCAGGTTGGTTGCTTCATAGTGGATATAGAAGAGATTATTTCTTACCTGAAAATTGTATATGACTCATATCAGTTAATCTGGGTTGGTCTGGCTTGTTTGTCTAGTATTTTCTAGGGATCCAATCCTCTTGGCTTTTAAATGTAATAAAGGAATAATATAAAGGGCACTAGTATAAAAACCATTAGAGACTTGAAGCAGAATGTGCTTGTTCAAAATTATACCCTGTGTTTATCTTATTGTATGTTAAAATTCATTACAGTAATAAGATACTTCTCCTAGAATAAGGTAGAATCATCCTAGACCTGAAGGAATGATTCTGTTGAATGTTTCTGGTTTCATTGTAATCTGCTTGAAGTTTAGAGACCAAGACTATTAATACTTCAGTTTCTATCATTGCAAAATAGAGATGAACTACTTTCCAAAATACTGGAGCTAGTACTGTTGTGCTGTGAATTGCTGGTTGAAGGGAATGGGTGGAGCAAATCTGAGTATTTTCTTAGTACCTAGACTAAACATTAATTAAAGCCTTGAACAGAGAAAAGTCTTCCATTATTTAGTTAATGAAAGTGTCTGAACTGTGTCAGATCTGTTTATCATTGCTGTAGTCCTTCAGTGAGAAAGTTGTTTTTCCAGTTGAAGTCCGTTTTGACCCACAACTTTTCCATCATTGATTAGATAAATTTATTATCTGCAGTTTCAGAATATACCTAAGTTAGTTATTGCTAAACGCATGGTTTGCTAAAAATAGGTTGAATGATTGCCCAGGGTAAGTTTTCAGTAGTTTGAGGAGCAGAAAGTAGCAAAGACAGGTATTTTTTCCTTCTACATGTTTGTAATTGGCGTTTGGAATTGCTTCACAGCCTGTATGAGGTGAACTTGAGTGAGATAAAATTTAGCCCCTAATCAGCCTAGGTGAACAGTCACCTGGTTGCTTGGTTATTACCAGCCAAATGTTATACTTTGTTGAATTAAGTATTTAACATAAGTGAGCCACTGACAAACGATTGAAAATCTTACTGGTGATAATTTGGCTTATAAGTAGATTTATTCCCCAGGGTACTGTGATGATATTGCTAATAATTTAGAAAAGGAGGTAAAACAGAAT